CAAAGTGGTTAAAAAATAACCAGAACCTCACTTTCAGATATTTTTATTTCATTAACGGCATTCGAAAGAGAATCGTTTGTACCCGTTTGTACCTCAAGGGGTTCGGAGATACAGCGTTTTTCATTTTTAGAGTAACCCTTATACAGGGATCTCAGCCATTTTGCAAGATATCGAGAAGCGGCCAATGGCAGTCGAAAGAGAATCGTTTGTACCGGTTTGTACCACTTTCCGTTTCGTTTGTACCCTTAAAGGGATATCTTGTAAAATTGCTGAGATCCCTATATAAGGGTTACTCTAAAAATGAAAAACGTTGTATCTCCTAACCCCTTGAGGTACAAAGGAAAACAAGGGAGATATAAACGGATACAAACAATTCTCTTTCGAATGCCGTTAATGAAATTAAAATATTTGAAAGTGGGGTCCTGGTTATTTTTTAACCACTTTGTATTTGTTTACCCTTTGAGGTACAAACGAAATGAAAGGTGGTACAAACGGGTACAAACAAAGTACAAACGAACTATGTTATGGTTTTTTAATTTTTGTAAAGTCGGGTTCCAGGTTCACATAGGTCGAAAACGTAGCCAAAAATTATTAATAACTCGCGCGATGGATCGTGAAAGAATGTGCGTGTAGTAGCGAGGAGAAATCGCGCACGTGTGCGGGACGAGAGCGCGATCGCTTTCACGTGAAACGGCACGAAACTTCAAGTATCGTGTCCTACGATAATCGGGCGGATTCGATGACAATCTAGAAACAATAATAAATGCCTAATAACGTAATGTGGTAGCGTATTCTTTCCATATATAATAAAACATAATAAGAATCAATGTGTGTTCCTTATATGAGAGTTGCTTTATTATTACACCGTACAGCCAAAGCTATAAATTAAGCAGTAAAAAAACGATACATAACACTGTGCACACCTAATCGATTGTGAAACACAGCAGCATTAATTATTAACACAGACGTGACACCGAAGAAACTAGCAAATTACAGTACAACGACAATAATGCACGCACAAGCCCTTCTTCCTTCAAGTTTTTTATCAACTGGCTAGTATAACTTCGATAAGCCCGTGAGAGGTGTGCGTGCGATGAAAGCACGTTTTTCAGAAGATAAAGATAATTCTCGAGATAATAATAATTCTGACAGACCGAGAAAAAGTTTCGCCGGCGAACGACTCGGCGAAGTTCCGAAGATGTCGACGCGGCGGGACAGCCGGCGAGCAATAAAACGGTCTTTGAAAGGGAGAAATAATTCTGCCGTCGAAAAGTTCGCTATCCGCTTCGTTTAGCGAGCTGCTTTGCATAAATTACTTGATAGTAATCGAATCACTCGGGGTTACGCTACGTAGTCACCGAACGAACGCGCGTTACTCAAATGATGGCGAAATATATATATCGCAAGAGTTAAGTATCCGCCGGCATTATTTCCCCGCGCGTCCTACCCTATCCGTTATTATTTCATTTCCAGAAACTGTTTTGCGCTAATTAAATATTCATCTTGTTATTGCATATGCCGTATGTGACTTATTTACTCTATTGCATGCGCTTATGCGGTGCATTTCTCTCATTTGCGATTGTTATTAAAGCGGTAACAGTGATTTAATGAGCGTGATTATTCATATATCCCTTTGCGTATACCAATTGTTTTACACGTATACACACGTTAATGATTTTAATTGCAATTACCATTTGTTGCAATAAAAAATAATGCATCCCCCCGTTCGATGTATAAATAACCACAACACACTGCGTGACGTAAAAATAAATTTGAGTAATAATAGATGACTAGTAATAATAGAAAAACAATAGATAATCATAATAGATTCGATCAAAAAATATTAGTATGAGAAACAAATCGTATACATTTGCTGTATGATGATTTAGAAAAACATCATATAAATAATCGTCAATCATATGGCAAGGTAAAAACATTTCGTGAAAGTTTGAATTTTTTCTTCTATGAGAATTACACCATATATATCGAAATTTAATCTCGCTCTCAATACTCACGAGTACGCGGTTACACGTGTTAATTTTTTTTACGATTCGAGAAAAGGTGCGTACAAACGAAGCAAATCGCGACGATAAGCCGCGACGCGCGGATACCGGGAAAGCGGGGGGACGGGATATAAAATCGCGGAGAGCAATGCGACGCTGACACGCGAGTTTGTTTGCAAACATTGGCGAGCCGCGGGCAGAGAATTTACAGAGAAGATCGTCTCTCGGATGTATTTGAGACCGGCTGACGACGATGGTTGCCAAGAGAGAGAGGGAGAGAGAGAGAGAGAACTTGTGTGTGCCGGCACTCGAAGCCAATTCAATTTGCCGACAACTCGGGTCTGCTTAGCGGTAATTATTTCCGGGGTCTCGGTAAACGTGTTTCGCGCTTACCCCCCTCTCCTCGCCGAAAGGACTCTCGCTCGCGATCGATCGCGACGCGCACACGCGCGCACGCACACGCACACGCGCGTGCACAACGCGCGCGCACACGGACACGTGCGCGAGCGCATGCACACATGACGATGACGTTCGCGATCGCCCGTTCGAGGACGAGGATCGATCGGCGCCCGCCGGCTGGTGCCGTGCCAGAAATAATATCGTTCGCGGCGAAGAGAACGCGAACTATACCGTGACCGAGCGACATCGAAGTCTCGGCTACGAATCGCTTTCTCCTCGGACGCGTCTGAAATATTTCCATTTCCCCGACACACACACACACACACACACATACACACACGCGCGCGCCCGCCCGCGCTTTTGTGGAATATGATTCTATAGATTACTCCGTTTTTCCCGCGCGCATGGTGAAATACGCGGTTCTCGACTCCGCCAGATTGCACCCGTCGCCGATTTGCCGGTTTTTTACAGTGGAATTCGTGAATAATTCAGAGAATCTCCGCCAGAGTCGCGAATCACATTCGAAACTTACGATTACAATACCTTCATTCGGAACAATATCGCATATTTATGATTCTATTAATTTCTTCCTCAATTAGGGAGATTTAATAATTTTTATTTATTCCTGTATCTCTCTACACTTTTAGAAGAGAACATAAACTCTCTTGTGGTAATTGAGAATTATCCACGCTAAGCCCCTTCAATTGTATCGCATACGAATACATTCGTGTATTTCGGAAAACGAATCCTCGGATATTAAAAATATTCATTTTTTTATTTACAATTCTCTTGGTTAAAATTGAAAAACAATATGCACTTGCAATTAAGATACCTGAAAGTTAAAAAGCTATATCACACTTCTTGTAATTCGTACATTAACTCTCACGATAGTTGTTTGAAAGTTGAGTTAGTTTACACGATAATAAGATAATAATGTTCGGAAACTTCGATCGCGCGCAAAACGGAACGCTGGCGTTTCCCTGTTTCACGCTTAAAGTTTCACGTTTAAAGATACACAGGTGTATTGACCTTGCAGCAATGATTTCTCGCAAATGTGAGCGAAAAGTATTTCGTCTTTAATTAAATAAAAATTGCTGCTAAATAAATAAAATAAGTAAAACAAATAAAAATGAGTATCTGGAGGAATTTATGGGGATCGCAAAAAATATATTTTGCTGATTATAATCACACATCAATTCGAATACTTGAAGAACTAAAGAAAAAACTGTGAGAGACTATCGTAACGCGTTATATCGCGTCCAAGCTTGACACGGGACTGAAAAAGGTTAAGGAAATCGGAATTTTGTGACGTCAATTGATGGATCAACTGGCGCGCGGACCAAACTCCTACGCAACAGCTATACGCAAGTTCGTCGAAATCGAAGTAGAAATGAATTCCGCGTGCCGGTCGTTAACTTCTCGCTATCGGTCGCTTTCAAATAAAACTTAATTCGACAAGCGCAAATATTTTTCACGAGCGCGATCGTCGCCGACCGCGATTTTCGCAATCTCCGCGCGCGTATCGCGCGGTCGCCGACGGTTTTACGAGCGGGCAATCTCTATCCCGAGAATTCAGAGTGCGTGTTTTTCTCAACAAAAAAAAAGTAATTCACGCACGCGATCTTGAACGGCGTCGCCATGAGAAAGAGATGCTACCGCGATCGAGATCGACGCGAGCGATCTGGAGTTGCATCGTCGAGTCGTCTCACCGCGCATAGATAAGACGGAAATCACGATTACAATGCAAATTCGTTGCGACAGAGTTATTAAACGACGATATCTGCGTATAGAGTTGCTTACGGTTTCGCGTAAAATTGCCGACGGAACGCGATGACGAAATCGCGCGGGATCGCGTCGCCGTGCGTATACACTCGCGCAACTTTATATCGCGAAGCTGATTCGCGTTAACGAGATGTAATTCCGCGTAAAGCGTCGCTAAAAGGGCGGCGCGATGCTCCGCTTGTACCTACTCCGGCACTTTCGCGACGACGGAGTATTTACACGGCCGCGTCGCGTCGTCGCTCCGAGTTTTCATCTCGTTCGCGAGTCGCGAAGATTAAAAAGAACAGACGGCCTCTCCTCGCGCTTGCGGCCCGTTTTGGAACCGGCCGTAAATAAACAAGACGTCACGTCCGCGTTTATTGCTGATAGCGTCCAATCGCGTCCGCTTTCGAAACGTCTTATCAGCCTGATTTCCAATCGATCCCCTCCCCTCTTCCGCGTGATGATATCGATGATACTCGCGATAGAAAAACAATCGAGGGAAGGTGAAACGCCGCTCGCGGAGTGCGCAGACACGATCGCGGCGAGCGTTGATTTCGACATCACATCGCAGCGGACACTTCGCTCCGGGTTTTCGCGATCGTTTTCGCGCGAAAACTTTTTTAACCTGACGCCGCCGATTCCGCGGCGCGCGAACACGCTCGCGAGGCGCGTACGCGACGGCTACAAATAACAAGATGGCAGCCGATCGAGAGCGATAAGCGCGACGGCGCGTCACGCGCGCGTTTCGGGGATCGCGCATCGATCCCGCGGCCGAAAGAGAGAACGGGAATGAATACAATGCGATGGGCACCGCAGATAGGCCGTAACACTCACCGGAATCACGATCTCGGGCCGTGCGGCGGCTCTGGCGAGATGAGGCTTGGGACGTGGGCCGCGACGACGGCGATCGCAGTATATCCAATACGATAATACGGAGTTATCCAAATATGATAATCCACACATATAACACCACAGGAGCGAACGAAACTGTCGTGCACTGATAAATACGAAACTCTCACTGCGTGGAACTCGTGGGCGGGCGAGCGGGATGGGCGAAATACGTGTGAACCGCCGCGTACGTATCGTGCCTGCCCTTCGCCGCGATCACTGATTTCCGCGACGGAGACGGAGACGACGGCGGCGACGGCGGCGGCGGCGACGACGACGACGACGACGACGACGATGACGACGACGACGATGACGGGGAGCACACTCCGCGCTATTATCGGTGCCGAGATATACGGACCGAAGTGAGCGGCGAGAGAGCGAGAGCGAGCGAGACGGCAGCACTACAGCACTTTCCCGCGACGCGCACCACTAATAATACATCACTACGTCAACGGTAATGCCCGGCACGGCCATCATTGGGGCAGTGCCGCGTCGCCGTTGCTTGTCCATGCGTGCATGCGTGACCGCGTATCCAAGAAGCGCAAGTACACACTACCGACCGACGGCGGAGAGGTATTCTCTCGACACACGACGGGCGAATATGCGACGGGATCGAGAAAAACAAGACGGCGGCGGGGCCGCGACTCGGCGATCACTGGTCGCGAGACAAAAGGCGCTTCGCGCTGGAAAGACACAGAGAGAGGGACACGTCGTAGACGTATAGATAAATCAGAGATAGGTAGACGACGGGGGTCTACCTCCGTCTGCTCCCGCGCTACCACCACTGCCGGATTCCGTCGAGTCGCGGAGCGGAGGCCGAGAGCGTCGGAGCGCAAACACACAACAGATCCGTAACGCGCGCGAGCTGGTGCGAGACTGGCGGCGGCGCACGAAGCCAGCCGATCGCCGCCGCGCCGTTCCGACGGGACACGAGGACGCACGAGGGAGGCCAGTAATGCCGATGATCGAAGAGACTTCCCTCCCCCCCCGTCCCCCCACCTCCCGCGCCGACCGACACCCCGCCGGCCGAACGCGGAGCAACGCGGGGCGCTCGACGACGGATAGATTACACGCGGCGCACGCGCGCGCGAGCGCGAGCGTGAACGAGCGAGCGAGCGAGTGCTGGGCTGGCGAGCGCTCGCTCGCTCGCTCGCTCGCCCCCTGACGCGAACGCGGTTTCATTACGTAAAACAAGTGTGCGTCGCTTGAACCCCGCGCGCACGCTCTCGATTCATTCGTCACTCGTGAAAAAAAAAAAAAAAACGATGCACGATCCCTGGCAGTCCGTCGCCGAAATCTACGGGATTCGCTCCGATCTTTTATTGCCGCTTCGATAATTCCCGCGAGGACGCACTGCAGCACTTCATACGCGACGAGTTTAACGTGTAAACTATCTCCTCGTTATTAAATTGTCGTTTTTTTTGTTTTTTTTTTTTATTTTGAAAAATGCCACGCGTATCTCGGAATGCGATAAATTAAATGAAAACTTTCGCTTCGGAGCAACGCGAGAATGACCTTGCCGGGAATCATCGATGATTCAGACGCGGTGGAACGCGTTACTCAGGTGGGACTCATTGTCAGTGCGAGTTCCTCGAAAGCGCGAGCGGCGCGCGGGCCAGCCCTTAAATACGGACGCAATGCATCAGTTAGCTCGAATAGCTTGCGCGCGTCGACGAGCGCGTTAAACTCTCGATAACGATCGACGAAATCTTCAGCCAGTGATTCATCAAGATAAACATCCCGTGACGTTTCCCGTCGCGCAGAGTCTCGGCCGACGCACGAATAAAGAACAATGCGAAATGTGTGTGTGTGTGTGTGTGTGTTTGTGGGAAATGGCCCACAGTCGTGACGTGCTAGGCTTTACGTTTTCATGCGCGTTTTCGTCGAAACGAGCCGAGTCACCGCTAATCGATCTCTCATATGAAGTCTCAGGACGCCGCCGCGTCGCGAGTCAGCTTAGCGTCGCTTATCGGGCGTGCACGCTCCCGTGACGCGTCCACCTTCGCCGCGAATCGCGAAGATTCGTCGACGGCCTCAGCCGGACGCGCGATTCGGGTGTGCGCGCGTGCGTGTCTCGGGTCATTTGCGCCAACACGCTCGCGGCTGTTGTGAGCGGAGCGTGTCCGTAATTAACTCGCGGGGTTATGTGTACATCTCGATAACGCGTTTATCGCGCTCGGACAAAGACGACACGTCGAGGAAACACCGAGCCGCCCTTCCTCCGTCTCGCACCCCCTCGCGTAAATCCTCGCGGCGATTCCGCATCCGCCTCGCGCTCCGTGCGGCGACGAAACGGCAGTACGTCACGCACGTTCCGTCTCACGCACACGTACGCGCGCACGTACGCACACGCGCTCGTGCGCGCGCGCGCGCCGATACGAGAAGGAGAAGCACACGTACCACCGAGATTCTTTCGTATTTTTCGTTCGTACCTTTCTACCACCCAAGTTATGCACTTCACACGTTTAAAAACAGAGCGCGCGGTCGACGAGAATCGAGGACGCGTCTCGTTCGAGAAGAAAATCGCGGTCGCTTCCCTGCGCTGGGCGGAAACTCGGATGTCGTTGACGGGGGGGGATGAGGGACAAGGAGGTTCGAGCGAGTGGACTGCAGGGGCGGGAGGGAGGGAGGGACGGACCGGGGGAGAAACGGAGAAAGGTGGAAAGAGAAAGAGAGAGAGAGAGAGAGAGAGAGAAAGAGAGAATGAAAACAGAGCGCAGCACGACGGGAACCACGTCACGAAACGACTGCGACGGAGATCCGACACAAACTGAGATCCGTCGGAGCTGCTGATTGCGGCCGATAGCACATTCTCCCCCACCCGGCCGTCTCTTTGCCATCTCCCTCTCTGTGCCATGCTTCCTCGTCCCTCTACCCCTCATGCGGCCCACGCATACCCTACACAACGTAGCGCGCGCGCGCTCGACCTCCCGTGTGCCGTGCTACGTCTATCCCCAGCTCGTGTGCGTTGCGAATCTTCCCCTCCCCTCCTCGTTCGTCTTCTCTACCTCCTCCGGGCGCTCGCAGCCGCGAGAAAGTTTCTGGCGAATTGCTCTGGGTTATCGGCATTTGCTCGTTACCACCAAATCTACGCGCGACCTTGCCGCGGCGACGACGCCGAAGCGGTCGGAGACGAGAACGCGTCGTATGAAACCGAACGATTTCGACGATCTTCCGATTCATCGCGCGATCTTTGACGAGGAAAAAGCAATATTCTTATGTTATATCTAACATTCATGAGAGAACACGCGTGAGTTATAAAAAGATTGACGCATGGCACATTTTAGAGAGAAAGTCAGAGGATGAAAGAGAGAGGAAGAGACGAAGAAGAGAAGAGAGAAGCGGAGAAGAAAAAAAAGTCGACCTTTGAATAACGGGTATCCGTGACTCGATATATCGACGGCGATCTATATGCATGCGATTACGGGATGCCCGCTCTTACACCTGTTTATTTCATCTGAAATTTTCGAGCGTTTTAAATATTTAACGTACACCTACAAGAAGTAGGTTCGGTATTCGTCGCTTCGGTATTCAAATATTAGGTTGTCGGAGGGAGAAAGATCGAATTTGCTGCCCTAATTTCAGGCCCTTCGGCCAATCGTGAACAATTCATCGTCGACGCTATCTCGTACGCGATCTTTAATGCACGACGGGTAATATTATCAAAAATGGCTGACTAAACTCAATAAATGCGCGCCGATCCCGCGATATCGTCGACCGTCGAGTTAAACGCACCGTTAACCGCAGAATTCACCGCAGGTCGAAATGGCCGGTGAGTTACCATCGCCGGGGAGTGTCCGCGGAGTTACCGCGTCGCTCGTGTCATTTTTGTCCCACAATGTAACGCAATGTTAACCGAGTCAACATCCGCCCGAGCAGAAACTTTACTTATGGCGCCTTATAATTTTAAAGCGACCGTCGCGGGCGCGCGCGGTCGCGCTCGCGCCGGAGGAGGAGGAGGTGGAAGAGGTGGGGGGTGCGAGGGGACAGGAAGGGAAGTGAGCAATTTCGAGATTTTCACGGCGCCGTTTCCGAGACGATATACGATGTCGTAGAGACGACGATGTATAAGAGAACGGAATAAAATATCAGAGCGCCGTCGGTCGCGCCGCGCCGCGCCGCGCGCCGGTTCGCGGCACCCGCGTATCTTTCGCGCGAGAGCGGCACGATAACGTCCGCGCTCAAGGTACTCCTCTCGCACGGTAAACTCATTTCTGCGCGTTCCGAAATTGATTTTCCGCGAAAATAACAAATCGTCCGTTGACTGTCGTGAAAAGTGTAATTTGCGATGTACCCGGCAATACTCGGTAATTGATCGCGTAATATTCTTCTCTCTCTCGCGCGCGCGCGCACGCGCGATAAAACTATCTCTGAATAAGTTTGACGCGGAGTAACAAGCGGAGTGGTACATACGTTTCCGAGTATGTATAACATATGTTCGATATGCTGCTATTTCTCTTGAAAGCGTTAAAAATTGAGGAGGACAAGATGATACCACAAGCTGCACGATACAATTGCCGTTTCGTGTAATAAAAGTTTCATATAAAAACCATTAAAGCTTGAAAAGAAAAATTGAAGTAGAATATATTTTCTTGCACATTCAATTAGGTTATAAGAAAAATTTGTTTCACATCTTTGTTATAGAAATATTTTCGCAGCGTTAAGCGTTGAACGAGAAACTGAAATCTAAAGAGATAAAAAGTATAACACTATCAGAATAAGGAAATAAGTCCATATCGCATTTCTGGAGAATGTAATTACGTTTGTATATGTGTAATAAATTCAAGTCGCCGTGATAGCACGGTCTTCAGGTTTCTAAAGCCATATCGCGCCCCTGAATTTTCATATCACGACGAGATATTACGAGAGGATACTTAATTCAGCTACAAGTTGATAACGACTAAAGATAAACGTCGTAAATCGAATTAATGATCATTTACATTCTGGTATGTATAGCGGTCGTTAAGCACGGACGTATACGTAAGATATTCGTGCGCGATCACTACGACATATGACGTCGGGTTAACATGAGCAGGCATTATAAATGAAGAGTCAAACGGAGACAGATAGATCGAGATAAGAATAACGAGAGAGAGAGAGAGAGAGAGAGAGGGGGGGGGGAAACGACGAGATAGATAGAGAAGGAGTACATAATGTAGGTCATGACCTAAATCGCATTCTCCGGCCTCTATTCGGATCTTTCGCAATTCGCGAAAGTGTTCAACACGAGTTTCGAGGAGTACTCTCAAGTTAAAAAACTGCTATGTAGTGAATGAACAAATTCTTTCGCTAAGTAATCTTACAATGAAATAGAAACATAATAAAATAAAACCAATTTGATATATATGACGGTAACATATGTGTGTGTGTGTGTGTGTGTGTGTGTGTGTGTGTGTGTGTGTGTGTGTGTGTGTGTGTGTGTGTGTGTGTGTGTGTGTGTGTGTGTGTGTGTGTGTGTGTGTGTGTGT